TAACACTTAAAATTTGATTCATGTGTGTTTATATATATATATATATATATATATATATATATATATATATATATATATATATATATATATATATATATATATATATATATATATATATATATATATATATATATATATATCAGGGCTCGAACTAAGTGATCGCGAATTGCGATATTTGGAAATGCTTCCGGTCTTTAAAATTTTAGCTTTTTAAAAATCGTAATTAAAAAAAATTTACGTCGATTATGATATAAAATCTTAATGTAAAACCATATTATCACTTTTATTTTTATTATTATTAAAGATTATAATTTAAACTTTAATATTTTAATTTATTTTATAAAACATCAGATAAAACTAGAAAAATAAAGCACGATAAAGTACGTTATAAACATTAAAAAACAAGCGCTAATTACAACAATCTAAAAGACTTTAACAGTGATCAAATATTTTAAATAAAAGAAATTGTTAAATAAGATATAAAATAATTTTATATCTTATTTAAATCTTATTCATTATTTTCTTATAAATTTAACGCTTGTAACGCTTTAGCTGATAAGAATATAAAATTAAAAGACGGAGGAGTTAATATATAAAAACTAATTTAAACTTTTTAATAGTTACTTTAAAACAAAAAAAAAGAAACTCTAATAACATATTTTTAAAAAATATACTTTATAATTTTTTTTCTTATTAAATAATTAAATTCTAATTTAAAACATTTAAATTTTTAAATAAATAATTCCATAAACTTTCCCCCTAAATAAAAATCTATTTTAATGTTTTATATAATGTGCAAGTAGCTTTAGCATTAGGGCTGTAAATCCTGGCTCGTGTTCCTGAACAGCTCGTTGATCGGCTTGACAAGAGCTCGTTCATCTTCGGCTTAATTGGTAAACGAGCTGTGCTTGAACAAAAAAGCTCAAGCTTCATATAAGCTCGATTAAAGCTCGAATATATATATATATATATATATATATATATATATATATATATATATATATATATATATATATATATATATATATATATATATATATATATATATATATGTATATATATATATATATATATATATATATATATATATATATATATATATATATATATATATATATATATATATATATATATATATATATATATATATATATATATATATATATATATATATGTATATATATATTATAATAATATATATGTAATAAATAAAATTGTGATATTATATATATTAGTATATAATAAAAATAGTGTTAGTGTAACCATATGAGATATGACCCATATAACTCTTATTACACTAATTAATTGGTTATTATAAACAATTTAATTATGTGAGGCTGCTATTGACTATTGTCATTTGCCAACAGACCCAATATGTTTTAGACCATTTTTAATGGATTTAAGAGTGTACAAATTATGCAAAACGGAAAAGTAGCCTTTAACATACAATTTTTTTTTACTAAGCGAGCTTTAAACTAACAGGTTACAATAATTATTTCGAGTTTTAAACCAGTCGAGCAACATACAAAACGAGCGAGCCCAAACAATACCAATCCTTAATGAGCCGAGCTCGAATAAAGAAGCTTATGTTCAAAACGAGCTTGAGCCGAGCCTGAACACTCTTAATATGTAAACGAGCCAAGCCCTGGCAAGCTTGGCTCGTTCGACTCAATTGACAGGCCTATTTAGCATACTTTTTAATTGGTTGTTTTTTTATACAAAGTTTTATACAATGCGCAAATAACTTATGCATAGTTTTTTATTGGTTGATTTTTAAATTACCGCAAAAGTTTTTCGGACTTTAATAATAATAATTTTTTTTTATTTACAAGCCTTAAATTACATATTATTAATTATTGTTTAAAAAAACAATAACTAATAATATGTAAATTTTGACTGTTTTTATTTTTGCAGTAGTAAATTTATTGTTTTTCTTTTTTATTAATTTTTGCAATATGATAAACTGACCGTTTCATTAAAACAGTGTTAACAGTTTTTAAAAAAACTAAGAACTTAATGACCACAGATATTTTCGGATACTGCAATTCGCGATCACTTAATTCTATTTATGATTATATTTAGGTGAAAATGATGCAGGGTAGTATAAAACGTGTTTTCGTGATTAAACATTACTTAAATATAATCTTTCTGAAAATAAACTACATATTAAAGAGCATATCTTTTAATATTAATAATGCGAAAAAACTAAATAAATTTACAAACAAATATATTATTTTTTATTAAACAAATTTAAACTAAACAAAAACTACATCACAGTGAAAATGATGCAAGAGTTTTTATCACTTTAGGACAATTGTACAATAACCACTTATGCACTATGTGTGACGTATGTTTGAATCGTTTTATAGCTTACTTTTTTACTTTTGTTTATTTTTTTTTTAGGTTAAGAATTATTTTCTTTTTTAAGTTTAAGGTTTTTGTTTTCATTTTAACAAAAATGTTAACTCAAAAATCCCTGCAAGAGAAATCAATTATTTAAGTTTTTTGCAATTTGAAACTTTTATAATCTTATTAAATTGTATTAAGTAATGTTATTTTAATACACCATAATGTTAAGTGTTTATTTAAGAAAATATTTATAGCTTTGATTTTTCTTTAAATTAAAAAGCTTTTAGCATAAATAAAAGACTTATTTTATAAATTAACGCTAAATATATTTTTATAATCAGAGAAAAGATAATATTTTATTCGACTTGATGTACTTTACCAGTTTGTAGAGGATTGTAAACTTTACAATACAGCATAATTAAGTCAAAACTGTCAATTTTTTATTTAACGTCTTTTGCCAGTATTTTGCCTCCAATATTTATTACAGTATTTTGCCTACGATATGCATTTCAATTAACCAGGTTGCAACCCTCAAAATAAGAAAGGGTCATCAAATATTTGGCGCTTTGGCCAAGCATCTAGCCAAATATTTGATATTCAGCAAAACCACTATTTGTGACATCTATTTCTAATAGTACATGCTTTTGTTTTTAAACAAACAAACAAAAATAAAAAATTGAAAAGTTAAATCATATGAAAAGACAAAAGGATTTTATGATTTTTACTTGACTTAATCGACTTCAACAGATTAGTAAAAAGCTGATTAGAAGAAAATCCATAGATAGTAGATTAAATCGAATATTCATTTTTTTTTTTATTCGACTAATTTTGACTTCAATGACTTTCAACTTTTTCGATTATTTTCAACTTTTTCGACTAATCAAGTTTTAGTCGATTTTGTTGAAGTTGATAACAACACTGTAATTTCACTGCTAATTAAAGAAAAATTATTAACCTTTTTGCTCCAAAGTATGCCTTTTGGCGTTCTCGCTAGTTCCGAAGCATGCCTTTTGGCGTTTTTAGATATACCTATACATTTAACTTCAAAACTTAAAAACTAAAGTTTGCATTGCATTTCTGACTTTCGATTTCAAATAAATGGTACATAGCAGTCCATAAAAACAACAACTTCACATGGTTTTATTATAAACTTTGCTTTTATTTTTACTTTGAAAACCAGTTACATTTTGACTTCCTGAGGTCGCTGATTGACACAATCCCAAGTTAAAGACATTATTGATGAGCTCAAAAATAGTAAGAATAATGATTCTAATGTTAAATAACTGATTTCAACAAATAACAAAAATATATAAACATGAATATATATATTTTTGTTCTATTTTTTTAACTTTAGAAAGTTAATTTAAACTTATGACTTGAAATCTAAATTGTTATTAACGCTTCTTATCTACCTTGCTTTAGAGACATTATATATGCATAATTATATGTAAAAAGTAATAAAAAACATGTAATGAAGCTATATTTAATTAAAATAAAACACAAGTACTCCATACAAATGTATTTTTATGTTCTTAATGTCAATATATTTTAAAAGCAACAAGGTACTTTTTTGGTTTTTTAAATATTTACTCATAGTTTTGACAAAACTAGGATAACAACATTTTTAAAGTATATAAAAAACAAAAGTGGTATTAAATTATATCTTATTTATTCAAGTTAAAAATGCCTATGGAATGGTAAAAAAGTTTAATTTTATTACCTACATATATGTTTCCGCCTATTTTTTCCGCCTTTCAGAAAAACTTTATTTCAATGTTCAGATATTACAATAACATAAAAAAAATTTTATTTTTAATATACCTACAACTTTAGCTAAAAATACTGCGCACTGAGTGGTCAAACCTTAAAAATTGAGCTAGAGCTAAAAGCTTAAACATGAATTCTAATATTGTGTAAATGCTCAACAGTGTTGCATCTTCTCTGCTAACATACATAAAGTCTTTTTTAAACACTTTTAAACCATACCATGTAATTTTTGATTTAAGAAGTGGAAACTTTTTTTTATTTTTTTCTTTTAGATGGAAAACTGTACTATGTAACCGCTACTAAAAAGCTCCAAGTTCTTTCAACAGATGAAGAAAAAAAACTTGCTTTTAGAGATGTCCATGACTCTAATCATGGAGCTCATGTGGGGCCTAATAACACTAGAGTTAAGCTAAAAAGTGCTTTTTATTGGTTAGGTAATGAGTTCGATTACACCCCATTTCAATTGAGTATATTTTTTATCAAATTTTCTTATACAATAATTTTCTTCTTTGCATAAATGAGTTTTATCATGGTTCATTTTCTATATTAATGTAATAGTAATAATAATTTTTTACAGAATAATATACTTATCATATTGTTTGCATAATGTTATCTAGGTATGGTTAGCGATATAACAAAATGGATAAAAGAGTGCGACAATTGTCAGCACATGGAGAAGATCAAAACTTGTGCTCCAGAATTGAAACCCATTAAGGTCAACGGATTGTGGGAATTTTTAGGTATAGACCTTATTGGTCCCCTTCCGCTTACAACACAAGGTAATAAATACATTTTAACAGTTACTGACCTTTGGAGTAAATATGTTGAAGCTTTTTCAATACCAGAAAAGTCTGCTTTTTTTGTTTCTAAGAGTTTAACAACTTTGTTTTATCGATTTGGCCCTCCAAAAAAAGTTCTATCAGACCAAGGTAGAGAGTTTGTAAATGATTTAAATGAATTTTTATTTTCTATATTTAATATAAAGCATTTAATAACATCTGCTTATCATCCGCAAACAAATGGACAAGATGAGAGAAGCAATCAAATTATTAAGCGAGCTCTTTCAAAAGTAGCTAATAAATCACAAGATAATTGGGATTAAAACTTTATTAGAACCTTTAGATTTAGATACTTTATTGTTTGGTCTTCGCACGTGCGTACAATCTTCAACTAAGTTCACTCCATTTTCTTTAATATTTGGCAGGGAGGCCCGGCTTTTTTCAACTTTAACTAATAATGATAATGATCCTAATTTTAATGATATTAATATTAACATTGCAGAAAGTAATGCAACTGAATCGCAGATTCAAGAAATAATGGATTCCCGTATTGCAGTTCATGCCATAGTGAATGATAATATTTGTATTGCACAAAAAAAAATGCAGAAGAACCATGATAAAAAACATTCAAAAGGTTTCAAATCGTTCAATTTTAAAGTAGGTGACAAAGTTTTGGTAAAAAATTACAAAAAGATGGTCGTAAAGGTTGCCGTATGGAGCATGATTGGGTTGGACCTGCCATAATTACTGATTTTAAGCCAACTGGAGCTGTTGTGTCCCTTAATAGTAAAGTTTGGAAATCAGCTGTAGCTATGCCCAATATAAAGCCTTATTTGGAAAAAAATCTAAATTTTATCTCTTCAAATATCTTAAAAGAACATAATTATTGTTTGCAAATTACTGACAAAATACATTTAAATGAAGAGTCGTGTGAATGTGCAAGCTCTTCTTTCATGGCATTAAACATTGCATCCACACTAATGTATGACTTAGAAAGAAAGAAAATGAAAGATAGTCAAGTGAGAGATTTTCCAACTTCTCCTAGTGATTTTTACAACTGTAGTAATAGTAACTATGATTATAGTAACAAAATTTTAGCAGTTGAGGAAGTGAAGCCAGTTGATAGTGTTGTAAAAAAAGTTAAATTTAATAGTATCTGTAGAAGTTTAAATTTATCTAAAGTTTCTTGTGCAATTCCTGATGCCAGTAATTTTTATTCTGAATTGTCAACACAGTGTAAAAACAAGGCCTTAGATATTTTAAAAAACCCATCTGGCTGGCTCGACGACACTTTGATTGATATAGCGCAAAGTTTGCTTTCATACCAGTTTCCTAAAATATCTGGATTTCAAAGTTCATGTATTTTAAGTTGTTTTAATTCAGGTGGTTATTCAGAAAGTTGCAGTTTTATACAAATAATTAATATTAGAAATTCACATTGGGTGCTTTTAAGTAATGTATCTTCTGATGATCTTTCAGATTCAAAGTGTGTTCAGTTCTATGATTCACTCTTTAATAGTTCAAATGAATGTGATGTACCATTGTTAGTGCATACAGTTGCACGTTCCTCCTTGAATTGTCATACAAGCAGTTCTTTAATTGTTGAAGTAATGGATTGTCAAATGCAACAAAATGGAAATGATTGTGGGCTTTTTGCGATAGCAAATGCAGCAGCTTCGACCCAAGTTTAATCATATGGAAACATAATGATATGAGGAAACATTACCTCAAATGTATTGAGAAAAATTGGTAAATTAGAGATAATTAATAATAATTGGTAAATTAGAGATGTTTCCATTTGTTACTGTTTTAGATGGTCATAAAAGGTGTGCCTTTACTATTGATTGCAATCATTTTTGTAAGTGCAGACAAAAAAATAATAATTGATTGTCATTCAAGTTTTTCTGAATATGGATTTATAATTCCTCTTACATCATTAAGGGGAATGTATCTTGTTATTTCTGGTGTCTTTTTGCTTTTATGACTTTTATGAATATTTAAATTCAACCTATATGCATAAAAAAGTTTTCTTTGTTATTATTGTCGGTTTGTACATATGTACTTTATGTTTTAGTTAAGTTCATTATTTTCTTTTTTTTTTTTTTTTGTCTTATAGATGTTCAAAGTTGTATAATTGGCTAATTTAGGTCAACTATTGCTTGGTTTTTTATTTTGTTATTAGCATGACGATTTGCTATTTTTTAACTTTGTAGTTGTTTATTTCTTATTGTTATCAGTTATTTATTTTATCAACTAGGGTTGTTGATATAAGACATAGTTAATAGCTGCAGTTATTAAAGTCAGTTCTTTATTTACATGCATTTGTTGTAGTAGCAGTTAACTCTAACTACTACTACTACTACTATGACAAGAGTAATACTAAAAATTACAATTATGTTATTTTTAATGAGATATTTAATCAATTTGTTATAGAATATTGTGAAAGTTTAGACTTAGTTCTCACATGTAGATGCCATGACTATTTTAACATTTTTAACATTCATGTTAATGAATGTTAAAACAATTTGAATGATTCAAAGATTCAAATCCTTCTGGCACACACTTAGATTTCATTTTTTGACATATATTGATCAATGCAGTTGTTAAGTACTTTTGTGGCACAAAAGCAGGTATTTTTTCATTTTTTTTTTTTCATTACGATTTAAGTATACTATTTATGTTATACTATATTTCTATACTATATAGGATTGTAATTCCATGTGCAAAAATCAAATTTTTTTCCGAAAATGCCCAAGTTTGTTCTTATTTTCAAAAAAAAGTTTCAGTTTAGTATGAAGTGTGTCTTTTCTTCAATGTCGTTTTAATTTAAAACATTTACACAGTAAGAAATAGTAAACTAAATTTAGGTCCTGGTATTTTATTATTATTGTGCTATTCTAATGTAATGATGCTGCATTTTATCGTTAAAAGTTATGCATTAGGACTTTCATTTATTGAACTGACTGCTTCTAAAATTTACTAAAATTCAAGACAATATTTAGCTATTTAAATACATTTTATTTTTATCTCAATTTCGTTTTTTATCTTTAATGTTTATAGTTTGGATCCTTGAAGCATTTTATATTTTGTTTTTGAAGTAATAATATTTTAAATCCATTGTGGTGTCTTTTTAAGTTAACTAAAGTTTAGTAAAAGCCAACATGAAATAACAACATTAAACAACACTGACAAGAACTGCTGCATCACGACAGCAACTGCAGTATCACAACAGGTTACCAAAAGCAGGTAAATTGTTTTCTAGTTTTTTTTTTCTTTTCTTTTATATCTAATTACCTGTTACAATTTTTATTTTAGGTTTGTCATATAACGCATTGATGCAATATGAAAGATCAAAGTTTACATATTTTTCCTTATTTGTGATAGCATGTTTGATTGTAAATTAAAAATTTTTGTTTAAAACGTTTTTGTCATCAATTTCTTAGTTATTTATAATAAACTAATAAAATTAATAGCTCTTGCATTACAGAAGTTAACACATAATCTTTATTAAAGTTCATGTTATTATAAAAAATATTACAAGAAGTTACTTTATATTTTCGTCAATTTAAACCATGATGAAGAGTTTAATTTTTTTAATAATTTAATTAATTTGTGTCAGTAACTAAAAACTTATTGTGTTGAACTTTGGGAATGTCGAGGAATATGGTTCTGCCTCAAACTAACATGACCTAAGTCAGTTGTAAATTATTCAAATAATGATAGATATTAATTGATAAATTATTTTATAGCCTCAATTTAAAGGCGTTTCTCTAAAAAGGTATAGATCAATTATTTCTGAAGTTAAGGTTTCTCAAC